TGGCGGGAACCTTGGCTGTGTCATTCCCCCACAGAACTCGGGAAGGGATCGGGATCTCCTGGAGCAAGGGATGAAGTATAGGGAATCTGTCATGTTTGCAGGGGGTTAGGATGTCCGTATTTGCAGGGAGCGCTGTCAGAAGTGAGAGGTGCTTCCCCGTATCTCTGTGTCTCATCTCGAGTGTGGCAGGAGGCTGCAGGTTTCCTTTGTACTTAGAGGTGATGATCCAGGTTGTGGCCACGGGGATGATAACAGAGGCCTGATGTATAGGCTGCATTTTGAAGAAAGCCGTAGGATACTTGTACAGAGGCTTTACACGTTTCTGGATCGAGTTGCTGGGTTCTTCATATATCCTTTGGATAATTTAAGTTTGGGTTTTTTTTAATCAATGTGTTCTGTGGGACAGCTTTACAGAACAGCATCGTGAAATGTCAGGAAGTGGTACATCTTGAGTTCCAGTGAGTCTGTAGTGTGAAGGCAGCTTGCTCCTGCTACCACCTGATATGATTGTTTTTATATAGATGATGAGACACTGAAAATGTTTAATGACTGCTATATAGTACAGAGCTCTCGGGAGTGTTATCAAGTGACAAAAAGTCACTGCCCTGTAATGGTTGTGCAGTGGTCTTGACAAATTGTTCACTTGATTAACTTAATTGCTTATTTTTTGGAAGCAAAATAATTATAGTGGGTATATCTTACAGATGTAGATTTCGCTCCTTATTTGAGAGTTTCTAGGCTTAACAGTAAAGATGACTTATTTTGGCAATGTTAGTAGTTTCTTCCTTCACACTTGGAATCCTAATGGAATTAGACACCGTGTTAAATACCTTATAGCCAACTGTTGGCAGGGAAAATGCAAAAAGTGGCTGAAGGTGCTGGGAGAACTGGCTGTTGGACTAGAACGTGCTGCCACCCTCTCACTTGTGTTGTTTAAGCTTAGTGCTGAAGAAGCACAGGACTTGGTGTCACGTTTTGCTCAGAACGCTTCACCTTACCGGGAGAGAGCTGCCAGCCACTGTATGGCTGCTAGCTCTTCCTGGCTGTCTCACAAACTCTTGTTATATGCTGATGCTTTTGCAGTTGGAGGAGGTGTTGTTGTGGAAGATCAGCCAGATGTGAGTGCAGTATTATCTGCCTACAATCAACAGGGAGACCCCACGCTCTATGAAGAATACTACAGTGGATTAAAACACTTCATTGAGTGTTCCTTGGACTGTCACCGAGCAGAACTGTCTCAGCTGTTTTATCCTCTCTTTGTGCACATGTACTTGGAATTGGTCTACAATCAACATGAGAGTGAAGCAAAGTCGTTTTTTGAAAGGTAGTTTTTCACTGGTACATTTCCATTGTTTTGTGTTCGCTGCTTTGATTAAATCTGTAAGCTATAGTAGCACAGGTTTCTATATGTATGTATTGATTTTCTTCTCTAATGTTGAAGAGATTTGGAACCTGAGTAATGGTGCTGTCTGTTAGAGAAACTGTTCTTAAATCATTTTCCAATCTCTTATGCTAGAAAGATGTGCAAACTATATGCTTTCGAATGGTCCATGGTCAGATTTTGAACCATCTTTATGGTGATCTGATGGGCTTCTTCCTGCAAAAGTGTCAGTGAAGAGATGCTGCTTCTTCAGGGAGAGATTGTGGGGTCATTTAGTGCACTGAGATGCCAAAGTAACATATTCTATAAATTATAACGTGTCTATTGAAATTCTTCAGATGAGGTTAAAGGAAATAATTTGTAGCTGATCTATAATTTTTCTCTGTTCTGCTATGTTGTGCTTCACTTGAGAAGAAAATTAAATTTAATTTGTTTTCTGGATTCAGACCAATGATGAAATTCTTCAATCCCAAAGGGTAACTTAGTTTCCCTCCAATTTGGTCAGCAAAAATGGTTCTGTAAATACTTTAAGTGTACCCTCCCACAACTAGTTTATACATGACCTGAGTGAAAATGGAAAGCTCAAGATATGTGTTAGCTATTGCATAACACAAGTAGAAGGTGAGAAACACATACACTGTGAAATGTGCATATTTATATAATGAATCACTTATAAATACATCCAGGTAATCTTACATAATAAAAAATGTCCTGTACTAGATGATACCACATATTAGGGTTTTATTTTTGTAAATAAACATGTTAGCATAACTGATTACTTCAGGTGAGAACTCTTTGGGTGTATGAAATTCTGTAAGATTCTATTTGTGTATTGTCTTCATCTTGTTTTTTAACTGTTGATTGCTGTTACTGTAGACATTAAGTCACTGGTGCGTATTTCCCAGGATTAAATCTGTTTCATCAGAAAAATCATCTGCTATGTAGTCAGTAGCTTCCAAAAGGCCCTTACATATATGTTTTGTGTTAGTGTAAATAAGCGTGCACTAAGGAGATAATGTTTTTGTAATAAATCCTTTATCATATCTTTAATTGTTTCAATAGATTTCATGGGGATCAGGAGTGCTATTACCAGGACGACCTGCGTGTATTATCTAGCTTAACCAAAAAAGAACATATGAAAGGGAACGAGACCATGCTGGATTTCCGAACAAGCAAGTTCGTGCTGCGGATTTCCCGCGACTCTTATCAGCTCTTGAAAAGGCATCTTCAGGAAAAGCAGAACAATCAGATCTGGAACATTGTTCAGGAACACCTTTACATCGATATCTTTGATGGCATGCCTCGCAGTAAACAACAGATAGATGCTATGGTTGGAAGTTTGGCTGGGGAGGCAAAACGAGAGGCTAATAAAGCAAAGGTAGGAGGCAGAGATTATTGCACTTTTATAATCGAACAATTCTCCCTAGTTTTTCAGGGAGATACGTTAGTATAGACTGAGACTTAAAAGAGAGCATGAACAGAAAAAAAGGAAGAGAACTGTACAAATGGTTGTTGGCTGGAGTAGAGATATCACGATGTGTTACTGTCTGATATGAAAACTGTTGAACACCGTTGGGTTGTAGACAACCTTGAGTTCAACCCATTGAGCTAAACTTTAGCTCATTAATCACTCTGGGGTTTTAAAATGGACAGTTGACTATTTGGCTTCCTTTTTGGCAGAGCAGATGTAATTCTTACTGCTGGTTGTTACTGCAAGGGCTGTTTCTGTACGTCTTGACAGTGTAGTACTATGGTACTACATAGATAAATTATGTAAGCTGTAGAGATTCTGCTTTAAGGTATTGCTATAAGAAGGTGGAAGAACATAGAGTTGTCCAGATCAGTTGCTGGGTAAAACAGCAGAACATGGACTACCAGCTAAACCAGTAGTGCATGAGGTAATAGTAAACATAGCAGTTTTAAAGGGGCAGCTTCATCGCTTGGTCTATTACATTAAAAGTTACTATTACATTAAAAAGTTTCCATTAAAAATATTAGTTTTCCACCAGAACAGCAATTACTGTTTTGTCTCTTGTGTTTTATTGGCTTGCAGGTTTTCTTTGGCTTATTGAAAGAACCAGAATTTGATGTGCCTTTGGATGATGAAGATGAAGAAGGAGAAAATGAGGAAGGAAAGCCAAAGAAGAAAAAACCTAAAAAAGATAGTGTAGGGTCAAAAAGTAAAAAGCAAGACCCTAATGCTCCTCCCCAAAACAGGTACCAAGGGAATGATGTGTAGAGAAGCCTTTTTAAATGCAGTCTTGTTGTGGCAAATCTGCATCACTGTTCACATGACAGTTTTAGCATTTTGGCCATTTCAGCTGTACACAGCTTTAGCTGTAGGACTTCTAAGGGAGGTAATGGAAAGCTTAGCATGTGAACCTCTGTCTTTGCCCTTCACGTCAATCTAGACTTCCCTTGATAAAATTTTGCTCAGATACCCACTAATCTTTTCTGGTCATACTCAATTATTTATCTTGTTCCACTGCCTGCCTGGAATTCTTAAAGCTGCTGCCTCTTTTTCTCATCAGCTGATCTTCTACATAGCCTTTCGTTTTTTCTAATTCTTGTTTCGTTTTTGAATATTGAGGTCCAGGGTTGCATGCAAAGATTTTGCTTTCTTTGTTTAGATGGAACGTGCTTTTAGTTCATAAAAACACGTGCTTCTTGTAGAATCCCTCTGCCTGAACTGAAAGACTCAGACAAGTTGGATAGAGTGATGAATATGAAGGAAGCTGCAAGGCGTGTGCGCCTTGGCCCTGAGTGCCTGCCCTCCATCTGTTTCTACACGTTCCTTAATGCTTACCAGGTTGGTAAAAAAAGAGTTTGGGCAATATGGAAAAGGGAATCAAAATTATAGCCACCATATTTAATAAAGAAAGAAGACTTAACATAATTGGGAAGGGTTATTGGAGTATTTGGAGTGAGTGTTGCAAAATTTATGTTCCAGAATGTTAAAAATTCTCTTTAAAGACTCCTTAAACTATACGACTTCCATGTTCCTTGGTTTTGCTCTGATTTTGCCTTAATTCCTTCATTCACTTTTCCTGTGGGGCCCTAAGTGTATTCTACAGGATGCAGTAGGTGTTTTGCACCGAAATACTGGAAAGCAGCACTCTTGTCACTGTTGACCGTGCTGCATTCATATTGCTTTATTCTTAATGGTGCAAGAATTTGTGTGTGTTTATAAGTCTATCCTCGAATAATTCTTAGGATTTTGAAATATTTGAAAGGCATCATGAAAGATAAAAACAATATAAATGGATATTTTGTGTGTAGGGTCTGACTGCAGTGGATATTACAGATGACTCTAGCATGATTGTGGGAGGCTTTGCCGACTCTACTGTGCGAGTGTGGTCCGTGACTCCAAAAAAGCTACGTAGTGTGAAAACAGCAGCAGGTAATGAAGGCAGTAATGCTTAATATGAATAGATAATATGTGCACAGATGTACTGTAACTAGTCCATCTTGCTTCTTAAGTCAATGGTAACTGTAGGGTTTAGTAGCAAGTTTGATTTAGGTGATCTAGGGAAGAGGATAGAGGTACCCTGGGGGAAATTCTAAGAGAGAACTTGGAGAAGGATGGAGGAAAATGTCCTGTAGCTTAACACCTACACAGAATTAAAGAAGGCTGGAAACCAGCCTTCTTTAATTCTGCTCTTAATGTAACAACATGTTGTGGTTGAAGCTAGATACCATGCAAACATTTCTTAATCTTGATGTTTAACTGAGGTGTGGTCATGATGTTCAGCAAACAGCAGCATACAGACTGGAATTATTTTAAGTTTTATGTAGTGTGCAGCTCTCAAAATATGACTGTAAAGTGTGTTTGTGGCATATTAACTTCCTGGTAAACAGCCTGAAAATTTGGCATCTGTCAAGAAGATGTGCTTGGAGGCTGAACAATATATGTATGAAAAATAATTCATGCCAGGATTCATTTATTTTAGCTCAGTGAAGACTTCAGGAAGGGTGATCATGTATATAAAGCATTATTCTCACTTTTTACAATGGTAGAAAATACTTTAAATGCCATTGTATATTTAAAAGTTAAAATCCTCAAGTAATTTGTCATGTTCGCATCCTACTTGCCTCTTTTAGAGAGAATATTACTTGTTCATGGCATTTGTCTTTAAACTTCTGACAGTTATGATACATGAACTTTAAAATATTTCAGACCTCAGTCTCATCGACAAAGAATCAGATGATGTCTTGGAGAGGATCATGGATGAGAAAACAGCAAGTGAGTTGAAGATTTTATATGGTCACAGTGGACCTGTCTATGGCACCAGCTTCAGTCCTGATAGGTAAAATAAGTTTACAAGCTAACTAGTTTGCTTGTCTTGATTTTTAATTGTATGCTGCAGAATGCAAACATGTCCTTAATGCAGCTTTATCCAAAAGGTTAAAGCAGCTCTTGTTTATGCAGCTTATAAGTGTGTGTGCAAATGTAAGTGCTCATTATGCTCAGGGTGCTGGGCGCTGTCAGCTATTGCTGGAATCAACTGGAGCTGAGGATGCCAGCACCTTTTCTGAGGTTCACAACTTAGATGGCAAGACAGACCATCTCTTGCAAACTCTAGCTTAACCTGGGTTCTAACTGTCTGAGAAAAATACTGCAGCATTGATTTCACCTATGGTATTGCAAAACATAAAACCAGACTGAGAAGCATATTGATGCCCTTCTTCAAGTTTCTCACATTCTATTGAGACTTCATTGTCAAACTGTATTGAATAGTATCTTTAAAATAAGAGATTAAATACCATTATGTAATTATGAGAGTCTGGACAGTAGGAAAGAGGTTTAGATGCCTCAAGTTTGACTTTTGCACATGTCTGTTCATGGAACAACTATCACAGAAACACCATTGAGAATTAAACTTCGTGTGGAACGTGAATAGAGAGTCGATAATTAGGAATTGAGAATGTGAACATGATATGAATTCTCTTTCAGGGAATCCTGAATTTTTT